AGGAGGAGGAGGAGGAGGAGGAGGAGGAGGAGGAGGAGGAGGAGAAGAAGAAGAAGAAGGAGGAGAGGGAGAAGGAGGAGGAGGAGCAAGGAGACACGGAGAGGGAGGAGGAAGAGGGGGAGGAGAATGGTGGGAGGGAGGACGTGACAAAGGAGCCAGAGCAGCACAGACTAACAACTTCAACGACAAAACGGCGAGCCTTGCGGTCGGCGTTAGAGGCCTTGAGCCCTTCCAACGCACCAGATGTTTTGAAGCAGCGTACGACGGAGTTTAACCAAGTGCTGCAGTTCGTCACCAACAGCGTCGCGAAAGCATCTGGGGGCAGCTTGTACCTCTGCGGCGTTCCTGGAACAGGCAAGACGCAGACCATGGCGCATGTGCGAGCCGAGGTCGAGGAGAAATTCTCCAAGGTGAGACCAGCACTACCCATCCTTCGGTTTCCGTCCGTCAGACGACTTTTGCCATCGAGAACTACATAGGGAAATGATTTTGGTACACGTGGCCCGTGCCCAGACTCGTACCTTGCAACTACAGGACTCGATCGCGAGAAACATCGCCATATCGTTTCCTCCACTCAAAGACTTTGTAGCTTTCAATGTCAAATGTTGAACATTTTGCCGTTCGTCCGCTTGTTGGTAATGCTAAAATATTTACTCTTCTTTTTCTCCTTGTTTTGCCACCTCTCGTTGCTTGCCTGGTTTTTGAGCAGGGTCACATTCCAGCACCGGCTTTCCATGCTTTCACGGGCACGGAGTTCACATCCCCGAATGCAATGCATGGGGCGCTCTGGCGAGCTATCAATGGTGCCCGCGGGGGTGAAGAGGTCATCGGCACTGAGAAGAAGCTCGACAACAAGCTCAAGTATTGGCAAAAGAAGCCGACAGCAACGTCGCCGATGCTTGTGGTCGTGTTGGATGAGATCGATCAGCTGATGACTGAAAATCGCCAAGTGCTGCGCAAGCTCTTCCAGTGGGCAGATACCCCCAAGTCTCGCCTGGTAAGCTATCTATGTGCTTGTCTCGTGGTTCACACCAAAAGCCTGAGTGGAAGACATTCACTTGGGCGCTGTTGTCCCTCTTCGTGAGATGCCTTAGTCGCCCGATATGTATGGCGTAATCACGACTCGACCCATCCCGTGCCTCGTTTTTACGCATGCGTGATGCTCCGAGTACACCCATTGTCGAAGGTTTTGATTTTGCAATCCTGCGTCTCTTCCTTGGTATCAGGTGCTGGTGGGGCTAGCAAACTCTTTGGACTTTAATATCAGCTTCTCCGGCCTCAGGAAGGCACCCCAGAGGCTTCTGTTTCAGTCCTACACCCCAGAGGATCTGGCAAGCATCCTGACGGAGAGAGTGGGATCGACCGTGCACCCCTCTGCGATCCAGTTCTGTGCGAAAAAGGCGGCTGCAACCACTGGTGACGCCAGGAGGGCACTGAACACGTGCCGTGAGGCCGTTGTTCTTGCCGACCAAGAGTTGCAACAGAAGCTTGACGACGCAACTTCGGAAGCTGAGCGGGAGCAGCTAGGAGAGGGAGGTGGGGACAATTTGGTGACCATTAGGCATATGGCTAAAGCAGTGGCGGCCGGGAACGCCGCCAAATATGCAGGTGCCATTGCCGCTCTATCTTTACATGCCAAGGTTGTCTTGACTGTGGCAGCCGCTGCGGTTGGGGCAGTATCAGACCGTGGAGGGGCTGCCGGGGCACATGGCGGTAAAGGCGTGAGGATTACGCAGGGGAGCTTGCAGGAGAAGTGCAGTAGTGCATGGAGGAAATTGCAAACTGCGGGGGGACCGAGCCAGATAGAGTTTACGGGGATCATTGATCTGCTTGCGGCTTCGGGTCTGCTTGGATTGAAGTCGAAGCAGCAGACCGGTGGCCGCACCCGCGAGTTGGTGCTGAAGATTGAGTTTGCAGACCTGGAGGCAGCGTTGGGGGACCAATCTTTTTTCAAGACGGTCACGGGTGTTCAGTAGTTGAACGGCGGTGTCTGTATTGGGTATTATTAAACTTGAGTTTGAAGGTTCTCATCTGCAAGAACATAGCGGGTTGTGCAGGTGTTCCGAGAGTTTCTTGGGATCGAAAGGATGTCTGGATGGTGCGTGTTCCACGTGTTGTCTATTGTAGGTTTTGTAAGTTTTATGTGAATGGGGCAACCTAACCCTGTAGCTCGACGCTTCTGGCATTTGAGGCGCGTGAAGGGTACGGTGGGCGCTTACGAACATTAATGTGGACGTCAGGACATGAGATTCAGGAAGCATAGACACACGTACATGAATTCCGATTCCCAACAGCTGCAAATGGTTGATGAATCATTAGGAGGATGGGAAAATGAGTCCACGAATGCTCGCCCACTCTCTGCACCAACCTAGTTTGTCTGAGTTCGGTCGGTCACGCTTGGCATTCCTCGTCACATCGCACCAAAGGAAATAGCCAGCCTCCGGGGGCAGGTCATAGCCAGCACACTCCGAACTCTCCGCTCACCCAGAGTAGAGGGCTCCATCTAAACCCACTATTTTTACCGGTGACCTTCCTTCAACATGACGCGGAGGGTAGGTGGGGTGCTTCACCATCTTACCTGAGTCATTGGAATGTTGACCACGAACACCTTTCTCGAGATGACGCCTTTCCTGTTCCCAAAGGGCGCTCCTTTCACGTTCATGTTCATGAAGAAAAAGAACGTCCCACCGAGACCGAGCTCCAAGATGATTTTTCAAATCCTCGCAGTGATGGAGGTTGTCTGGTTTTGACGACGCCGGCCGGGAAACCGCAAACCCTTTCGTATTGTTCGCTCCATTCTGCGTTCGTGGCCACTCTTGGCGAAAGCACACTATCCATGCAGTTCGCACTAAAACCACTCAAAGGTCGAAAATAACAGCTCTGATTGCTGTGGCGCTGCCGGGTGGCTGGGTTGCTTTCGATATCAAACTTGCAAACTTGTGCATACCCCATGACGAGCTTTGGGCGAAGTGTGATATACAGAAAACATGGTTTCTTCAAGTACCAATGAGATCTTATCGACTAACAACGTTCCAGCATCGAATGCATGCGGACACTACGTGCATGGACACACGCATTCCATCGTAAGACAAACGATTCTTGGTAAGAGATCGACGATTTTACAGAGTTGCCTTCCCCCCACGGCAGGTCCCCACTGTACAACTTCCTGTCACCGGCAAATCAACATGAGTCGTTGCTGCATTTGAAGAAAACACCGAAACATCAACCAATTCCGCATCAAGTAAAAGTCGGCCGCAACAACCACGCCAGTGCCACCACCTTCGAACCCCTTCTCTGTCCAGGTGTGACGCGACTGATCACGACTGTATCCGATTGGCAGCCTCAAGGGTCTGTGTCAATTGCTTCGCATGTTGCTGGCAGAGCTGGAGACATTCATTGAGCTGTTTCCCTGATGCACAGCTACCTCCAGGTTTGTGAACCCCGCACACCTGCCAACCAACAACAGAAAGGGCCCCATGGCAAATATCAATGCTTCAACACGTGCAGCTCTGTGAACAATTTGAGCCTTTGTATATATTCCGTACCATTCGCTAGAGAGGGCGGTAAAACTTTCAACTGCTGTACTATGACTATATGCCACGTCGCAAGACAAGATATTCAAGTCGCACCTTCCCCTCCGCAGTTGATACCACAGTCACGTGCGTTGTCAAAAGTTCCTCCTCCAGTAAGGAGGGATCCGCAATGATAATCCCGTCGAACACACCGCACGTCAACGGCACTGGAACTTCCCGCACCACCAAGGGGGTTGGTGTGTCTGAAGTATAGAGGCGGAGGGAGGCACGAAACACAACACTCATCCACAAGGCGTTCAGGTGGTGAGCGAAGCCGAAAACACGCCCACGCCAAACTACTGTGAGCTCGGGGTGGAGAAAGTGGACCTCGCTCGCCCACAAAGCTTAAGCTTCACGGGCATAACGGAAGCATGATCATCTATCTCCAGAAAAGGACTGCATCGTTCCCTCACCCTCCGTGACGAAAATCTCATCGTCGATGCGACGGGTTCCTGGGAGTTGCAGGCGCATGAGAGCTCCCATAGCTGCAATCAGCGTAGCGTCTGCCAGATTCCCGTCAAAACTCAAGCAGACGATGTCCATGCACAGCTTCCACGCAAAAGGGCCGTCGTCGATGGCGAGATCTGTCAACACAAGCGCTCCCGACCTGGTGATGGATTCATGATGAGACATTCAGAGTGTCAACGTACAACCCCCTACGCTGGGAAGATCTCGGCGTGGTCCCGCGCTTGTGGTGTCCATCCAGCGTACGCTATTGCCAAAAAAACCATTCGCATGGAAGCTCTATTCGCTGCGTGACGGAGCACACGGGCGCAACTCACTCGACGATGGAGTTCTTCACAAAAGTCGACAATACTTGCGCCTGCTCCGATGGCCGCCCTGAACTGAACTTGGACGAAGACAAGGGGGTCAGCTTGACCTCCACATCTGGGCAAAACATCGGCGAGATGGGAATGATTATGGGATCATGTATCATTGATTCTTTGCAAATAGATACAACGATGTACTGCTGTAGAGCCTCCGCCAATAGCAGGATGCGAACCAATTGTACCTACATCAGACAGCCGCTCACCAAGCATTCCACACATTGGTGTGTTCTCGCTGGGGTGACCGACTTGCAGCGATATCCCAGCGAGCACGTTGGTGGATCCAAGGCCGACCAAGGCGGACGCCTGCACCCGTTCCTCCGAGAGCACCCCAACATCCACAGAAATTGGTCTCACTGCACGGAGCTCCCTTCCGTCTGGCCTGACCCCATTCTTCACAAATCTCCTGTAGAAATTTTCTGGGTCGAGTCTCTGGAAAGCTTCAACTTCCATGTTTATTTGAGTACGCACGTCGTGCAGTGAGTTGGATAGCCCAGTCGGCGTGGGCCGACCGTCTCGTAGCGGGGGGCGGACAGAAGGAAGGTTCAGCAGAGATAGCACGATAGCAAGGGGTACTGCGGTAAGGTAAAGTGATTTTTCCCGATCACGGAGCCTCTACTCGCCAATCACATGCCCCCGACCCCCTGCCTGACCCCTGACCCAGCAGCCGGCACGAGCGACCGACACCTGTAGGCTTACTACAACCATGAGCCGTGGAGGAGGGCGTGGCGGAGGGAGGGGGGGAAGGGGCCGAAGTGCCCCAGGCGCTGGTCAAGTTTTGATACGAGAGACGCAAATTGATTTAGGCATGGACAAGATCGGACTGGACCAGGTGCGCAAGATGGCAAGAGTACATATTTTGCATGCTTACATCAACCAAACAAACCCTAAATCTACAGCCTTGCAAGACATTTACTTGATGTAATTAATATATAATACATGTACTGTAATTAAGCTGTTGCTTCCCCGCAGATGGCGTCACCATTCAGGATTTGGTGAAGGGTCGAGAGCCAGAACCCAGCCACTATTTTTTCATTTCAATTGAATGCGATGGATGCATACATGTCCACTGCTGTACGAATTCTGGGACAAATCCCAAGCTGGGAAACAGGATCTCCTGTGCATTCAGCGAAGAAATGACGAAATGCCCTGTGGGTTCTTTGAGTGTTCGTCGCTCTGGCTTCAGCACGAAAGGTGGTCGTCAAGTCGAAGCTTGCAGAAATTGTACCAACACTCCTTTCGTTGGTGCGCACGACCTCTCGTTGCGTCCATATGCAACATGCCTCCGTACACTACGGCAGCAGTAGCCCCATGCATTGCATGTAAAAGTGCATCGCGCGATATTCCAACGCCGAAACGACGTGGCTTGGGGCGCCGGAATGGCGATGATACTGCTATATGTTGAGGTCACATTGCTGGAAATCCAAATTCTAGGTGCTTCCTCATTTTTCAGAGGTACCTGGGCGGTACGACCTACCCTTAATCCTCCAAAGCAAAAGAAAATACAAAGTAATCTTCAGGATATCATTGGCCGAGGGGCAAAAGTCCCGTCAAAGAAATCGGAAAGTGTCGAGCTCCTTTCCAAACAAAGGGTGAATTGGGTTCAGTATGCAACTCTGAGGCCGAGGAGAGGCATCACACAGCGTATCACACTGCGGCGTACCACCTCACCCAAGCACGATAGACCGAGGGTTCGTGCGTTTCACACAGCGGAGCCTCCTGTAGGGCGACTACGGTGCGGTAGAGAGGCAATTTGAGTGCTGCATACCCAAAATGTCCACTTCGTGTATAACACAGCAGCAGTAGTACACACTTCTACTGGTGGTAGTCACCTTCTAAGCCAGTCAGGGACACATATTCGTCGGAACCCTTGTATCTGCTGGCGTGATTGCCGACACACAATCGGCCCTTTTGTTGGCTAGGGAATGAAGGTTGCTAGTCTCGCGAAATTGAAGGTATGTGACGCAGAAAGGAATCCTGTGCGTGTCACCCGTTCGCCGCTCCTTTGTCGAGGAAGCAGGATACATGGTTCCCACAACACGTCCCACCCTTGCCAACATACACCCGACCGCTGTAGCTTCAGAGTAGGGAAAGCACCACAGTGCTCATGTTAAGTGCAGGAGACTTTCTTAAACCACGCTGCTGTATATCTCTGCGGCGGCCTGGTGGTGATGGAGATAGTTCTAGCCGGACTCTTCGGAGCCCCTTGGCCCAACTAGGCTTGATTGCGCAGTTGACGGAGAGGTGTTAGACTGCGGGAGGAGAGGTGCCACAAAGAGCAGAAACAATTCTCCCCCCAGCGCTAGAAAACAAGAAACTAGCTTATTTTCGCACACTCTAAGTTTGTTCATTGGCACACCCCATGTTGGGACGTGAGGTCAAGGGTCTAACGACTACGGCATGCACGACTATGAGTATACCCCCCCATCCATACTTACATGGAGTAGACTGTAAATAGAGTAGTCTAGAGTGTAAATAGCAATTGTGAGTTTCCTGCACGAAATTCAAGTTCTGCGTACGTGTGTTATCCTGTTTTTTCTGAAACGGACATCGTCCCCCATCCAGCTACAGGATTTTTTGAGGTGTGCTCGTGGAAAGAGGGGTTGATTGTTGATTATGTTGAAGAAATATGCTTCAAGTACCATATATATGTATGAACCTCCTGCTGTTATGTGTAGGGCGCCAAAATATCCTTTGCATGGACCTCTTCTACAACGTGTGTTTTAACTTCGTTTTTTCGAAAAGTCCTGAATGAAAGTGCGCTCCTTGCTTCCTCTCTGCCATGTTACGCTACCAGAGCGAGGCGCCTGTTCTGTACCCTCGAATGGACCTCCCTGGGCCTATTCGAATCTTGGAAGACGACGTCAGCCATATCGCCAAGCAAAGGGAGCTGGCGGCAGATATGTCCAAGTCAATTTATTACATCACTCCCAAGTACGCGGTGAAAGATGTTGAAAGGTACTCTGACGGCGTTCACTCGAGTGGCTCTCGAGGACAATCGCTTGCCAGCCAGTTGTCCGCCGGGATGAAGCGGCATCTTCCGCCAGAGCTTACGGACAGACCAGCGATAGGAACGACGGCTGCCGGCGGGAAGATGCCGGGCCTCAAGCCATTGCCAGCATTCGACGGCAAGTCGCTCACAGCTTTGGAAGACAGGGAAAGAAAAAGCGCTGAAACGGGGGGGGCGGAAAAGGAGAAAGACAAGGAGGATGTGGGCATGTTGAGCGATGTCGAGGCCGACGTGGAAGAGGAAGAGCAGGACGACGACTATGCTATTGATCACTACGAAAGTGGGGACGACAGCGGAGGAGACGACGAACCGGCGGCGGTGTTTTAGGAATTTGAACTGTAGAGAAAAATGCTCCGGTTGCCACAACGAACTTAATCGTTGGTATTTTGTTCAGCTGCTGACCCTGCATTTTGATTCCATCGCTCCTTTCTCTTGCGCATGAGGGGATACGTGTGCTCGGGTGAAAAAAGTCGTTAGGGTGTGTATTCGCCCTAACTCCGCTCCTTCACCTGTCTTCGTAGTATGCTTGGACGTTGCGTGATACCGCAAACCAGCGTGCCGAATGCGCATGGATCTTCGGCATGTTTCAACTAGCTGCGGCATAGCCGCAAAACGCCGTGTTGTAACGAGTAATACACGTCAGATCCGGTGTAGGGGCCCGAACAACATGTGCCAGGCGAACCGGATTGCGGAGCCCGCCCTGGCCCTGGGTCTGTTTTCTGTTGCGATTCAACACTGCTTTCAGTGGCGCTTCCAACTAACGGTACCCGTGGCAGTGTTTTTGTTGCCGAAGGTATGACCGAATTCGATCAAATCTGATCAGCGCCAGACCCGTCGATGGGATAGAGATGGTGCATGTTGACATGGTCGTCAATGTGTGGGGATCGCCGCAGAGCGTGTTTTCGCTTGTCCGATTGTGTTGATGTCCGCTCTTTGTTCTCTTGTTTTCTTCCGAGGGCATGTTTTGTCGTATGCTATGTACATACCATGCTTGTTTTTCGTCCAAAGAGTGCACACCACGGCTGTTGTGCTTGTTTTGTTTTCTGTCATGATACTACCTAGGACTTAATTAAATACGTGTGCGAGGGTGAGATGTATATTGGATAGCATGGCGTGGTGTGTTGGTGTTGGTGTTGTTTTTGGTGAGTGTCGTCAAGAATAAATTGGAGACCCATTCGATGAGACTCTCCTCCTCGTGGTGCCAGCAAACTCTCATGCAAGACCGACCACCGATCAAGCTGAGAAAGGGACTCAGTGGTCTCTAGCATGCCTTCACATGAACTGCTGCTGCTGCTGGTGAAAAGGTTCAACATCTCTTAAACCATTAATCCATCGCACAAACCTTGTATCCTGGACCTAAATATGCATACATGCTGATACTGTGTTACGCTGAAATACATACACTCTATAGTGACAACGTATCATGAGCTCATTGAGCTTCATTGAAAGATTGAAAGATTGAAATTGGATTTCACGGTTGGTTCTGGTTTCGTTTGGTTTGCTTGGTCAAGAACCGATAGGGGGGGCTGTCTATGAATACTATCTTTTGTGCCCCGTTTCGAGTCTACCCCTGACCGATTTGTGCCCCATTCCGGGGACTGCACACACACAACCTTAGGAGAAGAGTTATGTGGATCAAGCGCGTGAAGTGCCACTACTAGTAGACTTGTACACGCGTACGAAGTGTCACCGTGGGCCCCAAAACGGCGACGGCATGTCCTGGCTCATTCGAAATGTGAAGACCCTGTCTCTGGGATGCCTTGTCGCGCAAAACTGCGCCCTGGTGTTAACGATGCGCTACAGCTTGACGGTCGAAGGACGCCATTACATACCGTCGACCGCCGTGGCCCTAATGGAGGTGAGTGGGTGGTGATAGTATAGCGCCTACAGAGTTATGTCGCATAGAACGCTTTTGTGTTCATGTCTCGTTCCACCCACCTACCCCGGAAAGGAACAACACTGCTGTGTGCAGTAACAGCAGTCCCAACACGGCAGACTACCCGCTGCGGAGAGATCCGTGCATCTGTGCGCGCAGTGGAGCGGAGAAGGATGACACGTGTGTTGGCTCTATGCACGATGTGTACCGTATACGACAGAAGACACACAAGATACACAGCTCGGGGATAACATTTTGGCTTTTACAAACATAATACCAGACGTATCACCGCGGGTGTTGTTCTGTGGGGGGGTGTATCTTGTGTAGCCCTGGTGACTAAAGTGCAGGTCGCGGGAGCCATGAAGAGGGTGTGGTAACCAAGGGGTGTGGCACCACATCGTGCACTTTTAGGGACTGCAGTTGTGTGGATACTAGGGGGGCTGTTAGCACCATCCGCATGGGGGGGCATGGTATGAGGCGGGGTGATGCCCCTGCCTGAAAAACACTACCGCATTGTAAGGGTGTGTGGTCCTGGGTGGGGGTGAAGTGGCCCTGACACCATTACCATTGAGTTACAGCAGTGAAGTTCCCACCGAGTGTTCTTGCAGTCGTGCGGAAGTGAGGGGGTAGGTGTTACACAAATAAGCCCGGTATGGAACGTCAACAACGCTCTCTTGAAACAGCGAAACAGCGAAAAGCAGTTGCATCCATCACACAAAGGAGTATGCAAATAGGTGAGGGATAAATGGATGGTTGTTTTCATGGAAGGACCGCTTACGGGGTGGATCCCCCGCACTCAAAGCGTGTATTGCTCATGTTCCTTGCTGGACCATCTTGCATGTCATCATCAGGAACATCTGCTGAGTCATCACCGGGCTGATATTAGCATGGTCTCCGTGATTGCACGCGTCCAACCTCACGGGGTGTGATATCATATGTAACCTGGGTGGTGTTTCGGCTCCTGGCATCTACGAAATCCAAAGATTTTAGCATCGGGTGTTGTACTCTGTGTTGGGTGTCTTACCTCATGTGAGTGTGTCATCGTGTCGTATACGGTAGGTACCTGTTTTATTCCTATTTGGCAGAAGTCGCTTCGGGCTTGCCGTTGCGTGAACAATATCAGAGCACGATATCTGTACCACATTTGAACCCATCGCCGCTTGTTTCCCTCCACCCCTCCCACACACGTCGTCATTCGCAGATGTTAAAGCTGGCTGTGTGCTTCGCTGTGGTGTACTTGGTGAGTACTCTTGGCCGCTGGTCAACTTACGTAGGTCCCCTACTACATACTTATAACCTCAAGGCCTGACCACGATGCCTGTGGCCTATCAAACAAATGGTTGTCTCGTAGTGATGGACGTGTACGGTTCCCCGTACGAACGGATTCATGGGTGTTTGTACATACGCCGGGGGAGTTACAAATGACAAACGTGTGTTTTTTTTCGAGCTCTCGAACACGCTAAATGTGCTGAGGCAAACAGAACTTGAATGTGTGTGTGCTTTGTTCATGAGCACCGAAAGCGCTAACCGGCTGATGAAATGAAAATAGAAGTACATCGAACGGCCAAAACCCGAAGAATGCGCAACGCGCTAAATAAACGAGGCCAGAAGAATCTCCTTTACGAATACTCTCCAATAGGCACACACCAACGCTTCATACATGCCCTCACTCGAATCAAGGAACCCAATGATGCAAAGAGCGGAGGACAGCACAGGGGTGTTTTCACGCCCAGCCGAAGCCAGGCCGAAGCCAGGATGTCGCTGTCTCCGTAGTATCTCCCAAATTGAAAATCGTAGGACCCAGGAGTCGTTGTGTCAGCAGCCAAAAATCAAACAAATAGCAGTATGCACATCATAGCTCTATATATGCCCTCGCCCGAGCCTGGGAAGTGATGAAACGAGCGGGGGACAGAAACAATGTTGTTTCCCTTCGCCACCCGAAGCCAGGATATATTGTTGTATGGCGCATGTCCCAATTGATATTGGTACACTCCCAACATCCGACAGTCATCGTGTCAGCACCCAGAAGAAGAGTACAAGGAAAGAGAACGTATCATACTATGATAGTCCACGCATGCCCTCGTCCAAACGTAGGAAGCCATTGATGCAAAGATCGGATGACAGCTTAAGGGTTATTTCAAGCCTAGCAGAAGCCAGGATGTGGTTGTGTGCTGTATTTGCCAATTTGACTACAGTAGATGGGAAGGAGAAATGAGCCGTGCGGTCGGCTCGATACCTGCAGTAGTCTGCATCTGCGATACTGTGTGTGATGAAGACTCATCCCCACTTGATACACCAGATGGAAGAACACATCGGGCAGCACGGTGTGGAATGCAGGTGGAAAGTGCAGGAGCACAGCAGTTCCAACATTACCATAACCAGCTCGTTCTCTCGCGTGGACCATCTTCAGTCTCTCTCTGTTGCGCTTGCTGAAGGCGGTGTCGTTCGTTTGCCTCCTTTATCCCCCGCCCTGTTGTTGTCCAGCCCAAGACGTCATCCCTATCGTTCTGAGTCCCACATGGCGATTGCGTCAACAGCACCAACTACCTCAGCTTCGCTCTCCGCTGCTGCTGTTGCTGCTGTGGGCAAGACCTCAATCTATCCTGTTTTCACCCATCGATTTTTCCAACGGCGAATAGATTCGCGGAGACTCTCTGTTGTTTAGCCAGAGAGCGGGCACAAGGTCTGCTGTTACTGCTGTGCTTTAACTTATGGAAGGGATTGGACCACGACGGGTGGGTGTGATGTCCAAGCATGATAACCCTTGTTATTCTGCAGATGTGCGAGACTCATCAGCGGTCGCAACCTCTGTATCTTCTCCTGGTTTGAATCGCGCGCGCTTCGAGATCTCCGTTTTGTAATCCGCCTTTCTTCCTGAACACCCGGGGATGGGATGAGGAATCTCCTATGAATTTTGGATACAAATGCCTGTGAAGCACTGCTTCTCGCCAAAGCACCACCAAACCGGTGTGACGAAGAGTGCGCTATTTTCTCCCTCCTTAGAAGCCAACAGATCGTAAATGGGTGCCCTGTGGATCTCGTTCTGGTCCCGGAAGGTGGGTCATGTAGGCGTCCCGGTATCAAACTTTGGGCCCCTGCATCGCGTTCGAACAGGCCGATAATTAGAGCCTGTTTTTTCCCTTCTGGGACGGAGGGAAAAGAACTGTCGCTTAGGTACATACAATCTGTGGGTCACCGGTAGGCAGACAATGCTCCTGGGTGTTGGTGCTGCGTATATGGAGGTGTGAGAATCCGAGTTACCATCTCTCCGCGCGGTGGCACACGAATCCGTACCGGGCTTGTCGAACAATGTCACGTTTCAAAAGCTGAGGCCACCGAAAGTACCTTGAATCAAGCGCTTCACTTGATTAAAATACATACCTGGTAATTTAGGAGTGGCCGACCCCCGCGAAAATACCATGGCTATTCATGCAGAAGTCAGAGTGCTGGCAACCCTCAACTCTACGTGGTGGTGTTTCGATGTACTTCAAGAGGAACTGTCGAGGTGCTTGGACGACGTTTGCAAAAATCTGTCGCTGACTTTCATCAAATGTTGTGTCAGCATTCTGTGTGCCCGTTATACGTCTACGAAAGTCAATACCTGAATGCGTTAGTTGACCTCTCCGTGGCCTGACATATACATGCCTCTATAGGCCACACGGTAGTAGCTGTAGCCACAGGCATGGTAGCTGATAAGATGTCCCGTACCATCCTTTGGGCGCATCATGATGCCTGGTGTTTTCCTATTGCGGGTGGTTTTCCGCGTCGTGGAGAGAACCCAACAATGCCCTCGACACCTGAGTGTTAATTGTTTGCTTGTTTGTTTTCCTCTCAGGAATCGGGAGAACTGAGAACCTTCTCGAAGAAATTGCGCGTGGAAGTTGCCGGAAAGCCACGAGAAACGGCGAAGCTCACGATCCCGGCCATGCTGTACACCTTGCAAAACAACATGTTGTACATGGCCCTGGAGAACCTCGATGCTGCGACCTACAGCGTCTGCTATCAAACAAAAATTCTCACCACGGCGCTCTTCTCTGTGATTCTGCTACGGAGGAACCTCAGTGCCACAAAATGGGGGGCGTTGGTTTTGCTCGCTGTAGGAGTGGCCCTGGCTCAATTGTCAAGTCAATCGGCGAACAGCCATAAGACAGATGAGTCCTCTGATGAGACAGATGAGTCCTCTGGGGGGCAATCTCCGGTGGTGGGGTTCTTGTGTGTCATGGGCGCGGCATGCACCTCGGGGTTCGCAGGGGTTTACTTCGAAATGCTCCTTAAGGGAAGCAAGACATCGTTGTGGATCAGAAATATCCAAATGGGCATTCCCAGTATCGTGCTTGCTATTGGTAGCGTGTATGTCAAAGATTGGAGCAGAGTGACAACGAACGGTTTCTTCTTCGGGTACGGCTGGGTTGTTGTTGCGGTAATTGTACTGCAGGCGGTGGGTGGTCTGGTAGTTGCCGTGGTGGTGAAGTACGCCGACAATATTAGGAAATCGTTTGCGACTGCGATTTCCATTATTATCTCTTGTGCGTTATCCACTCTTTTCTTTGCCTTTAAACCAACTTTTCTTTTTTTCATTGGCTCTGCTATGGTGGTTGGGAGTGTCTTTCTGTACACAAAACAAGATCGACCTGCTAGGTTGCCTCTTTTCAACAAGGGCAGGAGTGTTACAAGAAGAGTGTAGGTGCTACTTTGCTTTAATTGAAGAACAGCCTTCCAACCAAACTAGACTGCGGGGAACGCGTTGCCTCTACTGGGATAACACCAGAGAAGACAAGAAACACCAAACTGGGGGACCTACCGGAAATCCAATTAGGATTTTGATACGTTGGCAGAGAACTCGGGATCTGCCGCGTATGTTAAGCGTGATCCGTGGATCACACCATGCGTTGAACCACAGACATCAAGAAGCACGTGCAGGCGGGCGTCATTACCAGACATATGTACAGCTTGCAGTTCTTCCCGCACAAAAGCGAACATCACAGAAAAGATCCCCACCCGACTTGCCGACTACTCTTGTTTAGACGCTGCTCGTCCCCGTTCTGTTTGTTATCCGCACAATATGATGTATGGCGCGGTGTAGCCCGGCCTTCGTAACCACGCCCGAAACGATACAATATTTTCTGGGAAGTTCTCGACATGACGCATCCAAGCGGGCATCCAAAAGTTGTCGGTCATGGAGGCTCCGCTCGGAGGTGAAGAGATTTCTCCAACAAGGCGTCGATTGCCTCGTTGAGCTCCTTCGTGCGGAAAGCTGGCCTTAGCCCTGCCGCGCCTACCCGATCGCGTCGGCTCCCGCGAAGAGCGTCCATCCAAACAGCCTTGTTGCCGGGGCACGCGTGAACCGCGCGCCAAAACAATTGCTTGGCCTGTAAGAAGTTCCCGCGCATGGCCTGAGTACAGGTAGAACCAACAAGAATGACAGCCCATCAACAAAGTTACTTTGCGGGCAAGGTAAGAGCAGACACGGGCGGGGAACCAACCTGTCGAAGAAGCTCAAAAAGATGCACTCGCCTCCATGGACATATACATCCTCCAGAGGACAGGGATCCCGCGACCGGTGGGGTGGGTTATCGCGGACTCCATCGAGCGCTTCAACCTGCTATAAGAACCCGGCAGCCAGTTCTTGACACGAAGGGCTTCGTCATTGTGCCGCCGGTAGGCCGGTGATGTGGCGTCAACGTGTTCCACCGTTCCTCCAGCCGCGATCATGGTTTGACGCGCCTCACGCACGCAACGCATCACCTGCATCAGCATTTACCAAACCGAAACGTCCATCGCACGAGATATGCATGTTGTCTTCAACTCTTTGGTTACCAGCGCTTAGCCGAAGGGCGGCCAACCTCGTGTCGTCATGGTTATGCGACCTTGGGGAAAAGTGCGCTGGACACGATACTTGCAGGCGACAAGCATTGAGAACACTCGACGAGTGCCTTTGCTCGTGATGACACATGAAGGAACAGAATGCCGCTGGTGTCATTGATTGTTGACGTTGATGACCTGCCGAAAATCTACCTTCGAGGTGTTACCTCAGAGTAGCCTGCGGACACGCTGAATCCGCGAACAAATACAGCAGGCCGGCCGCCCCCTCTCTCTCACAACCCATATCGTATACCCTTCTCCCATTCTCGCGAGAGGAATTCTGGTGAATCCTTCACATCACATGCAGTATCACACGAAGAACCTTGACTCCCAGGGCGGACCTGGAGTCAACCGTCTCATGCTGGGACAGAATTTTCTTGTCACCATCATGCCGGTGGTCTGTGCTTAGCCTTGCAAACCTACTAATAATTCGATCCCCTTCCCTGGAGTGAAAATCAATACTTGTATATATCTTTCCAACGTTTGGGAGAAAACGATGGATTTGGTGAGTGCACACTTCGACTTCAAGGTCGACCACGGAATGGGCGGCTGAAATCTTCTCGCGATAATGACTGAGGTGAGCACTGCAGGAGGGAAGGCGTGGCAAAACAACAAAAAATCAATGAGTGAGTGACCCCAGTTGATACGCCCAACATACATACACCAAAGGTGTGCAAATTTGGCACCAGAGTATATGGGATCAAGAAACACATCCCATATTATCTTCAGTTCAGAACGCAAGCCTGTCGAGCTGTCGAGTGTAGTGCGAGCAACGAAAAAAAGAGGAAATCCATGAAAACACTTACAGATGGCGCCCGCACTTAAGAACCTCTAGTTTCGGCCGAGGCTGGGGTTCTTATTTTGCTAATCATCCCCTAGTGGGCTACAAATGGCCGCTATATAGGTTTTAGTGTGGGGTTCTTAACCGAGCTCACTATGATTTTTTGCGAGTCTCAATTTCATAACTGCGTAGTTTTTAAGTGCGGGCGCTATCTGTACGCCATCGGACAGCTACTTCATGTGTACCTGGTGGGTGGTTGATAGAATCCACTCCAGCGGGGTAGGGCCTTGCTCCCACAGCAACGCTCGTCGCCGGGACACCTGATTCATGTAGAACACGCGCGGCAAAGGTGTGTAGTACGCTCGATCAGAAATTGCCAACAGCAATCCGGCTTTCAGTCCTTTGAGATCAAACAAGGGGCGAATCAGGTCATGTCCGGTGTGTCCAAAGCACTGAACAGGTGAACGGACGTACTTGTGGTGAGAACCCGAAAATGCTTCGCAAAGTGTACGCGACGTATAATGAGCCTTACCTCGAACAGGTGGTGTACGAGCCGTTGCTGACTGCTCGAAAGCTGCTCAGTGTCCAAAAGCAAGCATAGCATGCCAGGCTCAGCTGGAAACGACACCAGCCCACGGAGCAGCACCGCACGCACCTATGTCGCATGAACAGCGCGCACAGCAGGGTGTACCACGAAACATCCCACACCAACATTAGTAAGCCAGGAGGTTCTCCTGGTTGAGACGAAGCCCTACTCAGATGTGAAGTGGTCGCTCACGCCCAACAAAAAACGGAACGTGCCCCACAAAGTGCAACGTCATCACTGGGCGGTTGCTTTGCAATGTTGGTTGAATCTTTCGTGCTTACCCGTCGTGGTCCAGCGTCCACCGGATTGTAGCGCTGGGCTAGGGTCATCAGCTCGCTGAAGCCTCTATGCATGCGCTCAAGGCACACACCGAGAGCCGTATGTTCGGGAACCACGTTCCAAGTGTACGGTTTGTTGCCTGCTCTCAAGAGGAACGATAGCATTTGCGATGGGTGGAATGCTACCATCAGATGCACAGCAGGATGCAGAGCCAAGGGTGTACTGCTGCTGGGTAGAACCCAGGACGATTACTCACATCTTGAACCGCTTACTACTGTATTGCGGCATGTTTCGTCATGCCCAAACAATAATTCAAGGAGTCCAATGGGCCCGTAAAGAAACACGCGCCGACGAAACATGTTTAACATTAACCAACATCAGCCTACAAAGAAAACTGGCGCAACCGTCGGTTTGGTTTGGAAGGCATAAGTCCCCTCGATACAGAAAGCCGATATGGACCAGCTGAAGAAGGCTGTACTGATGTACAATAAACACGCAAAAAAAGAAGCTCGCACGATGTTAGAGTATCGAGGTTTCGGAAGGCGTGATGGACTCACCAGTGGAGGTTCCGCCGATGCCGAATTTGCTGCTGCTGCTGTTGCTGCTGCTGCTTTCAGCAGGGACACTACTAGCTTCACCAGACCCCGTCGGTGTTGGGCTGGGCTGTGCCAACTCCAGGCACTTTGACATAGCATCTTGTGCTGCGCCTAACCCTACCGAGATAAACTCCATCCAAACCCACGCAATCGCGTGGTACATGAAAGGGGGCGTCATGTCCAACGCTCCATCGGCAACATCTGCATCTGGTTGCATTACGGAGGAAGAGGGTTGGGCGCGGCGCGAAAGCTGAGGCCGCCGACAAAGAAAAAATAATTCTTGTTAGAAAGAGTCTTCGCAGCAGCTCCCGTGCGATCCACCATTGTCCTTGCCAACACAATTGCCGCAAACTTACCTCTTCCAGCAGACATTGCTACGCAACACCCAGAAGTAAAACATCCAAGAGCGCTTAGGTTACCAATGACAAAACTATCGAATCGACCACGACGTTACCTCTTTGAACTTCCTGTGCCGCTTCCCTAGCAACTCGGTCAGCCATCAGCTTTCGTGCCGCCAGGAGCCGCGGGGGAGTTATCAAGATAGGCTCTGCACTGGAACCCTTGCCATCGCGCTGAACAAATGTACGTTCACAGGGAGAAGGAAGCTAGTTGGCATGCGTGACCCACACCATGGCCGTGAAAAATTTGCTTGCAGCGCGTATCGCCCCCGTGATCAACTTCCACTTCTTTGGGATGGTCAAAGTCGTGGCGTCTAACACTGGCTCGAAAATTCAAGAAAGCGCTCGTTTCACATGTATTCGTACAAACTCCGATTTACAGTATGGACAAGGAATATGCACACAGTAGGTGTTCCGGTATAGTGCCGGTATGTGTCCAGGGGGGTGGACCGGCACTATTCAGAATTGTGCCTTTTTAGTGCCAAGTCGGCACTATTCAGGGTTGAAAAAATCCTCAATAGTGCCGGCTTGACACTAATGAGGACTGTTCGACTTCAGGTTGCAGCACCTACGTTTTACGGGGCTGACAGAGTACCACACGAGCGGTACACGGATCAATTGTGAGGTGGGCAACGTGGGCGGGCTCCTTATTGTTTCGTAAGGCTGCTAGCCAGCCTATCGACAATACGGCTTTGTTCACATTCACCGTAACTTTACCAGATACATTTGTTGCACCATGGTTCTCTTCCCACCTCAGCGCACACCCTAGGGTAGTGAACGTCGCCGCTGCCTGTAAACCGTAGACGGTGCTGCCCGATCTAAAGGCACCTCGCTATCACATAATGTATTGTTGTGGCAAGAAGGCCGTAGCACAATTCAGGCAACCTCAAATGCACCCCTCCACAGCGAAAGAAAGACGCTCGTGCACGCACTCGACGTACACCTGGAGGTAAAACATGGATGTAAGGCTCCTTACATGAGCACAACAAATGCACATGCAACCGAAAGGGGTGAAAAAGATTTTAAAACTCCCCTGTTCCTTCGATAAAAAGCTAGAGAGAAGACCAAGCTTCCAGAAGCAAGTAAAAGATTGGCCACCCAAAAGGCGTCAGTCTCCATGCGGTTGAAAACAGATTATTTATGTTTCTCAAGGCCCTGATCTGGGATCCCGTGAGAGAGTGTCATGGAGAGGCTGAGCTTACTCCCGGTAAAAACCAGAAACGGTAGCAACAGAGGAGAACTGCACGTGTCTGCCAAGGCGACTACGAAGTACTTTGAACACGCGTTCGTTTTCGGAGTGTTTTCATCTTCATCCTTGCATTTACCACCACTGCTCTGATCACTAATACTTAGACTATTTTCGGGCGTCATCTTTAGACTCTGCCCCCCTGCGGCGTTTGTTGTGAGGAAGGTCATCTGGCTCGAAACTCTTGTTCCCCTCAATGCCATATTTTCCTCTTCCATCATCACGATAATCCCTCGATATTCTTTGCAAATCCTTCGTCACTACCACCATCTTCCTTTTCGCCCGCCTCACTACTGAAATCCCAACCAATTGGCTGAAGTTGCTGTGGTGGAATTTGGTCGATCGGTAAACCATGACATTTATCATTTGAAGACGTCACGCGTACTGACAGAAACCGAGCAATACTTGTAGCTCGAAGGTAACCCGTCTCCCCTGTTCATGTTGGTATGAAAGGCTTGAGGCGCAAAAAAGCTGTGTGTGGGGTATGAACTGGCGCGATTGAGGGGTTCGATAGTGCCTGAACCGGCACTATAGCGGGCAGCCCTGAATAGTGCCGGTTTAGCGCCATTGAGGCCTGCGTCTGTCTCAAGAAAAATTAGCGGCACTATACCAGACTTTGGCACTATTCAACAGGCACTATAACGGGAAACCTACTGTAGAGGACTGCTGAAACCTTTTCGCGGTAACGTTTCTGTTTAGACTTGAATCGCAGCTTCTTGGCAGAGCAGGCAAGACTGCACGGTAGCTGTGCATGGATGTGCGAGCGACAGCAATCGTTGACATGACCAAGAAATGTAGCGAAAAAACGATTGAGCAATCGCAGGACTAGGTACGGAAATGCTTGCTTGCCTCGCCGAATCAGAAACAATACCTTGCACAGCACGCAGCACGCACCTTGGACCGTTTGCTTTTGCTCTTGGGGCGCTTAAATCCTCCCTCCGCGAAACTGCACAGCATCAATAGCGCCATTTCTCGACCATTGCGGCCTTTGTTGCCTGTCTCGAAGAGGTTGCCAACGGTCTCGTCATCTTCCCCTGGGTGGGGATCGCGCGGGCTGAGTGGAAGTCCGGCGTGAAGTCTGAAAGTGAGCCAAAAGAGCTCGGCTGAAAAACCTTTCTTGTCTTCCGGGAGGGCCTGCAGGGAGATTCAACCAAGAAAACGTGTTACAGGCATGCCATGTCGACACCGAACGCCGAACGCTTGCAAAACCACCGACAAAGATATTGTGGACATCCATAAAGGGTTAACCGAATGTGATGGAACACACGGAAAAGCAACCTTCACTCACTTGCACCATGGAAAGCGCCTTTTCGGCCACCTTTATGGCTTCTTGTGTACTGCCGAGGAGCGCCAACAGTTGAACGTACGAGCTCCATAGCCGTAAATCAGTTGCGCTCGCCTGACTCGCCTGACAAAGGGGACGGCGCGAGTCAGGTCAGGCGACGACAACAATTTGTTTAGAACCATTGACGTCCCGCGCTCCGCAGACAGACACGAGACAGGAGACTCTCTCGGTCTATCGTAGTGAAATTGCACATGAGCCCTCCGCACATCCATTGTATGCCGCACAAGCACGTTAGGATGGTACCATCAGCTTCGGCACATCGCCGAAACATGCAGAGCAAAATGCAACAGCAACTGGACGACCGCGAACGCAAGGTGCGGTTACAAATCGTCGCGATGACGGCATGTTTTGTCTTGTCTTTCTACAACGTGTCGCGATGTACACGACAGCAGATGACAACTGAAAAACGCAGGTTCATGGAAGACGATACCGTGAGAAGAACGTCAGATCTGCCTGGAATGCCAGGACGGAACGCGCAATAGATTATTTTCGCTCATGATCGCTGAACAGTCGCAACAGAACGTCTCAAGCCACAATGCTCTAAACGTTCTAAAAGCGAACACTTACCTCGAGCAGAGACTTCGCAACTTTGCGGGCCTCATGTCCATGCGTGTCCTCGTCAGACCACGGTGCTCCCTGTCCGGTTGGGCGGGTTTGCTTCGGAGCACTCCCTGCACTAAATCGACCATGCCGAGCACCCGCTGCCGAAGCAAGGTAGCCTTCGAACATGATGAGGGTGCATTGAAGCTGCACCAAAATATTGGACCCCGAAGTAGTGCTGGGAAGCGATGCAGGAGCGCGGACGAGGTGATGCAAGACGTTTCGCAAAAACGCCTGTCGAGAACAGTCTGCCACAACGTCGTCGGTCAGTAGCAGGAACTGATCGGCCGCCGTGCTGACTACCGCTGGGGGGAGACAAGATCCGGGTCGACCGGTGCACCGGACGACGCCTGTTCCCGACACGGGTAAGTCGCCCTCGGAAGCCCTCCACACCGCTTGCAAACCGTTGCTGACGGAAGATATCAAGCTACCGGACAATCCCCCATCACCGAACGACCCTGCACAGCAGGCCTCCGACATCAACTTCGGAGAGTGTGAAACATCGGAACGTGGGTGAACGAGCCCGCCCGCAGACAAGAGCAACCCGACAAGGGTGCTGCATAGAAGCCAAGAAAGCAATCATGACAGGGCGGGACGAAAGGACAGTAAGAGCCCATGCAGTTGGTCAAATCCCGGTGTGGGCAGACGTACCGTATCAATAATGGTGTAAAAGCGAGACCGTGATGCACCATTTACAGGGCGCGTGCAGAGCAAAAGGGCTCCATTTGTGAGATGCCACAGCGTACTAGAATCGTTCGAAGTAAATAGCACGAAGTGCCATAGAAAGATTACAGCAGAACGCACCTTTTCGAGGCAGCATGGGATAGCCTGAAGAGAAACGGCCGTAGATCTTCAACAAAAACCACTCGATCGGGCTGCTCTTCGGCTCTCTCAGCATCTTGGATCGAGCTGAAGGACGGAAAAAACAAAAAGCGGAGATTGAGACATGACGCGCATCACTCCGGTCTGGACGGGACTCTCGACTCTTTCAATTAGTTTTCCGCATTAGATATCCACATCCTACCCAAATAGTCAAGACATGATATGGCGTCGTCTGCGTGTCCTGGCGAGGTCGATCTATTGACTGTCCCTTCAAAATATGGCCCACAACTGACCGTAGTGGCTGCCACTGGCGTTGGGTCATTTCATCTTCCGCCTTCGCCCACTCCGAAAAAACATCTCCTTCGGGCACATCTTGGAGCACGGCGGATTGCTTTGCCACCTCGGCATCTCGTTCTCGAGCTCCTCGATATTGTAGACGTTTCGATGCAGCTGCAGCCACCTCAACATTCTGGCACCCAAAACGAAAGGCCAGAGTAAGAACATTGTTTGGCGCAGAATCTAGTTGACGTCTGGTACTAAAGAAAAAGAGGGTTCAGTAATGCAAAAATGCTTGGAGTTGCGGCCACACAGGGGCCGCGACGACGGCCCGCAACAAATGATGGCATTAGTTTACCGACAAGGGCATGTGTGTACAATACTCACTCTGTCTCCATCTTCGTCCAGCGCGCTGCCTCCTCGCATTTGACTTAGTATTCGCCCATACTCGTGTCCCGACACTGAGTCCTGCGCCCCTTGTACATCGATTCGGTACCCGTGCCTGAAAGAAAACAAGCCACGGGCGAGCGTATTGCACCACACACCAAGTTGGGGGTAACTGCACGTTCGACTACCGACAGATTTGGATGGTACACAGCAAGCAAAGATGGACACGGGACACGCAACAAATGTATGGCGTGCTGAAAAAGTGTCATTCTGCCACACCTGACGCTGTACGCCGTTCGCTGCTCATCATCGAGCCATATCAAGCCCTCGGCTTCCACTGCTCGAACACCCTCGGGTTCTGTTTCTCTTTGAACGGGACTCGAGTGCTCTCCAACCGTGTCTGGAGCTGTGACTTCGGGTGATGAACCTTTGCGGTCAGCCGTGTCCCTTCGCGTACTCTCAGGTTCCGACAAGCCCTCACGCGAGGTTCCGCTCTGTCGACGCTGACCCGAAGCATTCTTGGCGTCACCGTCGCTAGATGAGTCTGCGTGAGGGGACGCGTCCATACGAAGGATCGGCACAGCAGCCATTGCCATAGCTTGTGCCTTTTGGTAAGCCTTCTCCAGGACTTCGGTACCGCCCGTTGCCTTGGGTTGCTCAAAAGTTTCCGCTGGCAAATCTTCCTTGAAGAAGTCTACAGCTCGCTTGCGTTTGCCGCGAACAGCAATTGTTCTGGCTGTGCCGTGCTTCCGAGGAGCTACCTTCATGGACGTAACAACGTAGAGAACGGACCAATATTTCATATTACATGTCAACTAGCATGTTATCTCGGAAGGACGGCGATGCACAAAACCTTCAGCGCACGAAGCTACGTTCTGCGTATTCGCAGCAGCTAAACCTCCCATGCCATATCCCCACAAGAGTCTCACAGTCTTCTGCTGCCCCGTTTGAAGCGCCGATCCAGACGGCTTCGAGCTAGCCGTGCCTGCCGTTTCGAGCCACCGCGTCATACCCGCTTGGGTAGGGTGCACATCACCAATCCTCGGAGCTTCGCTGTCCCAGAACGAAACGAATGTGTCCAGGGAAAGCGTGGCTGACGCCGTGTTCAGCTCGACCATAGCTTGGAGAACACCCAAAGCACGCTCATGGTACCTGCACACGTGGAGGTGGGTAATGCGTGGACGAGAGATGTCAACGGCTGCTCCAATCGTGGACCCCAAGAATGCATGTATCCACTACCCATTACGCACCGTCATCTGCAGGGACCCCCCTAAAACGCAACTACCATGTAGCTGAAGCGTCAACGTCGGACAGCACACTGTGGTACACATTGCTGGGTGAAAAAAAACGATTTGGAATGTCCTCAGAGGTACGGGGGCTAAAATTAAAACAAAACAAAACATAGTTCGCCTCGAGGATAATGGTATTTTCATTGCTGTTGGGAGCATCCCCCGAACACAAACACGAACACACACTTTATCGCGGAATTATCGCGCTGAAACCCACGATGTCCGTGACAACACCGATGGCCACGGCGATGACAACGACAACGACGACAACAACGTTGCCAGCATGCAAACCTTAGGTCTTCTGTGACCGGTTCGTTGTGCCCTCGGCGGCCAAAACAACACCCCGGAGCGAACTCAGAGGTACAGCGGGGAGAACAACACAAAAACTTGTTGATTACCGTCCCCAAAGTTTTGGGCACCAGCGGTATTCTAGGGATAGGGAGGGGGGGG